GAAGAAGAAACAACTCGATTGGGACACTGTCAATTCTATGCTTGTCTCATGGATCACGCGGACTCTTGATCCAAAATTGGCGGCCTCCATTCCTTTTCATGATGAAGCCAAACAACTTTGGGATTATCTTGAGAAGCGGTTTTGCGTGGCCAATGGTCCTCGTCTTCAACAATTGAGGGCCGATATTACCAACTGTAAGCAAACTTCAAATATGTCTATTGATGATTATTATACCCGTTTGATGGGATTGTATGATGAATTGGATCGTCTGAAGCCTCTCCATGTGTGTGCCTGTGGTAATTGTACTTGTGATGTTGCTGGTCGATTAGCTGCGGATCGGGAGGAGGAAAAACTCCATCAATTTCTCATTGGCATTAACGATAAGTTATATGCAACGGTACGTTCTAATTTGTTGTCCACTTCTCCTTTACCTGATCTCGATCGTGTGTATCAAGCATGTCTTCAGGAAGAAAAGTCTCGGGGTATTGCTCGAGATAGAGCAGACAAGGAGGAAATCCATGTGTTTGCTCTACAAACAGCACGACCCAAGGCTCGTTTTACCCGTCCTGATAAATCAAAATTGTATTGTTTTTTTTGTAAGCAATCGGGTCATGATGACAATACTTGTTTCAAAACGCATGGATATCCGGATTGGTGGGAAGATCAGAACCGTGGAGTCCAAGGCAGTGCACGGCCCAATGCACAACCACCTCCTGCGGCTCCTCCGACTGCTCCTCGTGGTCGGCCCAAAGCCGTGGCCGCCACGACCTGTGGCTGGTGGGGGGACCGATTCAGTGGCCTCCTCTCATGGGTCCTATGGCGTTTCTTTGCCTAACTTAAAACCGGAGCAGGTTTAGATTTTATTGAATATGATAAATAATCGCCAACATGATCAGATGATGGGTGAGTTCTCTTCTTTTTCCTGGATTATTGATACTGGTGCTTCTCACCATGTTACTGGCACTGAATCATGTTTGACGGACACTCATCATATTTCGCAATGTTCAGTTGGGTTACCTAACGGTGCACATGCCATTGCTACTAAGGCTGGCCGCGTTTTGTTGATTGATGGGTTGATACTTGAACATGTTTTATTTGTACCACAGTTACATTGCAACTTAATCTCGGTGTCACAATTAATTGATGATTCTAAATGTCTTTTACAATTCACTGATTCATTATGTGCTATATAGGACCTACGCTCGGGGAGTCTGATTGGAGCCGGTGAACGTAAAGATGGACTCTATTATTTTCAGTGGATTCCTACAGTGTGTGCGGTAACGGTTCCAAAGATTTCAGATTTGATGTTATGGCATCGTCGTCTGGGGCATCCGTCAGATAAAGTCGTCAAGTTAGTTCCGGCTATTTCTTCCAGTACTTCTAGAAAGAAATTGAATAAAGCATGTGAAGTTTGTCCTCAAGCAAAGCAAAAACGTGATAGTTTTCCTGTTAGTGATAGTAAAGCTAGTCGAATCTTTGAACTTATTCATTGTGATTTATGGGGCTCAAATAAGATACCCTCTTCGTGTGGAGCACATTATTTTTTGACTTTGGTGGATGATTTTCAAGAGCTGTATGAGTTTATTTATTGCGTTCAAAAACACAAGTTTATCAAGTTTTTTGTTCATTCTTCGCTATGATTGCCTGCCAGTTTGAAACACATGTTAAATTAGTACGGAGTGATAATGGTACGGAGTTTAAATGTATGTTGGATTTTTTTGATACACATGGCATTATTTTTCAAACCTCTTGTGTTGGGACTCCTCAACAAAATGGTCGTGTGGAACGAAAACATCAACATATTCTTAATGTGGGTCGTGCTTTGATGTTTCAAGGCAATCTTCCTATTACTTTTTGGGGAGAATGTGTGCTTGGTGCAATGTATCTTATTAATAGAACTCCTTCTGGTTTACTCCACAATAAAACTCCCTTTGAAATTCTCTTTGGCCAGGCACCTGAGTTTGATGAACTTAAGGTATTTGGTTGTTTAGCTGTTGCCCACAATCAAAAGGCCAAAGGTAATAAATTTGCTCCTCGAAGTAGGAAGTGTGTTTTTATTGGTTATCCAAATGGGAAGAAAGGGTGGAAATTATATGACCTTCAGACAGGTGACATCTTTGTTTCCAGAGATGTAAAGTTTCATGAAAATGAATTTCCTTATGAGACTGTTTCTACTTCTCAAGTGCATGCTTATTCCTCGTCGCCACCTGATTCTAATGTAGGGATTGATGTTGATTTTTTGGAAGACTTGGAGTCTACTTTGGTTGATGATCATGCAGCCCCTGCGATTGGGACTGACATTGCGCTGAATCCCACATCACCTCATGTGCCCCCTGCACTTCTGTCTCCTCCTGCCTCCACCGATGACTTAGGGCACGGGTTACGGGATAAGCGTCCCTCCGTTCTTTTTCGTGACTTTGTTACCCACATTGTACAATCTGTTGATTTTTTTTTATGGAGTCTAGTTTGTATATGTGATCCGGATGATGACCCGACCCGAAGTAATGTTGTGTGGTTTTTAATGGAAAATTTTCTGAGGCTTAGTCCATGGAGCGAAGGCTTGGGCCGATAGGCCCAAGCCGTAGCGCTTATGGACAAGCCTCGTGGGGGTTCAGGGGCAACGCCCCCGAGGAAAATTTTTTTGGGCCCGTTATACAGCCCAGTGCGTATGACATATAAACCTTGTTGTTTTGGTAATTAGGGTTTGTTATGGATTGTACAACCGCTCTCTGTAATTCAACTCTCTCAATAGTGAAATCCCTGCAGCTTCGTGGACGTAGGCAAATTGCCGAACCACGTAAAATCTGTGTCTTGTTCTTTCTTGTTTCTTATTGCTTTATATTCTTGATTTGTTCTTCGATTGTGTGTGTTTGTTAGTGGATTTAAATCGAGTTAAATCCCAACACAATCTTTGAGTCCATCTGAGTGTTCATCGTCTTCTACTAGCTCCTCAGGTACTCCTTATCATATAGCACATTATGTGAATTGTAATAAGTTTTCTCCACGACACCGTGTTTTTCTTGCAGCGATCACTGAAGGTATTGAGCCTCGTTCTTTTAAAGAAGCTATGCAAGATGAAGGTTGGTGCGAGGCTATGCAGAAAGAAATTGCTGCTTTAGAAGCTAATGACACCTGGGAAATGGCAGTTTTACTTCCTCATAAAAAGGCTCTTGGTTCTAAATGGGTATACAAAATCAAATATCACGCGGATGGGCAAATAGAGCGTCTTAAGGCTCGTCTGGTTATTTTTGGCAATCATCAAGTTGAGGGGGTTGATTATAATGAAATTTTTGCTCCAATTGCGAAAATGGTCACTGTTCGTGCCTTCTTAGCAGTTGCAGCGGTCAAGAATTGGGTTTTGCATCAGATGGATGTTCATAATGCGTTTATACATGGTGATCTTGATGAAGAAGTTTACATGAAACTTCCTCCTAGCTTCAAAGTTCGCACTCCTGGTTTAGTGTGTCGTCTCAAGAAGTCTTTGTATGGTCTACGACAGGCTCCGCGGTGCTGGTATGCTAAGTTAGCTGCTTCTTTGAAGACTTATGGTTTCCTTCAGTCTTATTCAGATTATTCTCTGTTTACTCTACATCAGGGATCGGTACAACTTAATGTCCTTGTATATGTTGATGATCTCATTATTTCTGGTAATGATGCTTCCGCTGTTGACCATTTCAAGGCCTATTTGCACGTGTTTCCATATGAAAGATTTGGGTGCCTTGAAGTATTTTCTTGGTATTGAGGTTGCTCGTAATTCCGAAGGCATCTTCTTGTGTCAACGAAAATACACTTTTGATATTATTGCTGAAACTGGCTTATTGGGGTCTCATCCCGTTGGCTTTCCCATGGAGCAAAATCACACATTGGCTCTCGCCAAAGGCCCTTTGCTCGCCGATCCTGAAAGGTATAGATGACTTGTGGGTCGTCTCATTTACTTAACCTCCACCCGTTCTGACTTGGTTTATACAGTTCATATCTTGGCTCAGTTTATGCAACACCCTCGTCAGGATCATTGGGATGCGGCGCTTCGTACGGTTCGCTACTTAAAAGGGTGTCCGGGTCAAGGCATTCTTCTTCGCACTGATAATGAGTTATCTCTGACAGGTTGGTGCGATTCAGATTGGGCTACGTGTCCTTTGACTAGACGGTCTCTTACTGGTTGGATAGTGTTTCTTGGAACTTCTCCGATTTCTTGGAAGACCAAGAAACAACATACGGTGTCCCGGTCTTCTGCTGAAGCCGAGTATCGTTCCATGGCTGCCGTCACTTCAGAATTGAAATGGCTCAAAGCTTTGCTTGTGAGTTTGGGTGTCACACATTCGCCAGCCATGCGCTTATACTGTGATAGTCAGTCGGCACTCTACATTGCTCAAAATCCTGTCTTCCATGAGCGTACCAAGCATATTGAAGTTGATTGTCATTATGTGCGTGATGCCATTCGTGACGGTATTATTTCTACGTATCATGTGTCTACTGATGATCAGCTTACCGACATCTTCACCAAGGCTCTTGGCAAGCGCAAGTTTTTGTATCTACTTGGCAAGTTGGGCATTTGTGATCTCCATGCTCCAACTTGAGGGGGGGTATTAAGATTATACTAGAATATCTAATCTTCTATTTTTAGAATATGTATATTTTGATTTGGTCAATGGTATAATTGCCATATTATAGCCATATTTATAGCTTGTACGCATAACTGTAGCCAGACTTTAGTTTGTAATATTGTATAAATATTACCTACGGGTGATTCAAGAAGATCAAGGAAAAACCAATTCTTTCATTGGAGAGGCTATTATCTCATTCTCCACACCAGCCTCCAGACCAACCACATCTTTACCTGAGTGGTTTCCTTTTTCGAGATACTTAGCACCAGAATCCATATGGGTAGAACTTTCAGCAATCTTATGTTACTGCATTAAAATTTCATCCTTTTCTGGATTGGAAACTCCAGCTGTCCCCTTGCCCTTATTTTGAATCCAAATCCCGTTACTATACTGGACCTCATTGTCTGGTTTAAAACACTTATGATTTTCCCCTTTACCTTGTTGAACTTCCTTAATTTGCTTCCCTGCATTCAAATTCTGCTGTTCAATCTTTCCCTTATTCTTCTCTTTAGATGTACTTTCCCCCTTGGACTTCTTATTGCCAGGCACAATTTCTCCAACGATTGTAGTTCCCTTATGTGGAAGAAAATTCCTTCAAGTTTTACAGAATTTTTTGCTCTTCTCATATACTATCCTCTGCCATCTTGCATTACCATCCCCCATATCCAACCAAAGTCTTGTTGGATTATTGGCCAAAAGATTGACCTCCACACAAACTCTAGCAACACCTCGTCTTGCTAGAGACAAAGTTGCATGGTCAAATGCCAATACCTTGCCTATTGGCATTACCAACAACACCAAATAAGACTTCTTGAAAAAGTTTAGAGGCAAACCAGGCAAAGATACCCACAAAGGGACAATAGATGGCTCAATTCCTGGAACAAATGCTGGAAACCATTTGAAAAATCTAAATAGATAATCCTCTATCAAGGTGGCATCTTTTAACCAAATCTTGACGTAGTCTTCATGCATACTAAACCTTATGAGAATGTGTCTTGGATCAATAGATCCAATCTCAAAGTCTCCCTTCAAATTCCACTTAGATCGTATGACTTCTTTGATTACTCCTAAGGATGGCCTACCATAGGCACATTTGCCAATCAATGCAAATTGAAGAGATTGGCAAGAAGCTTCAACTTCTTCATTTGTAAAATAAATTGCAGGATCTCCCTCAAAAAAAACTATTGGTTTATCAATCTCGATGAAAGAATCCTCTTGTTGAATAGGCTGAGATGATTGTTTTGGTTGACTGAATAAAGATGCAAATGTTGGTTGGGCGTTTTGTAATGGATTTGGAGGTTTTGGAGATATTTGTGTGGGATTTTGTGAAGAACTCATAAGAGAAGGATTCATGGCATAATATGGTGTGTTCTTTATCTGAGATGATTAACCCCACCTTAACAAAGTAAATGTCATCGCTTCAAATCTACTATTATGATATATCAATTCAATTTCATAGATGACTGGAAGTCTATATTGGTGTAATATAACTAAATTTATACTTTGACTCCTTATCTTATAATGAGCATTAATTATGTTCCTTAACTTTTAAAAATTCTATTTTACCTTGACATTTTTTTGGTAGATTTATAAATAGAGTCACTTGATGACAAATCAGTATAAATAAATGAGATCTTTTATTGCTAATACAATGTTACAAGAGATTACTACTAATGTGACAAGAAAAAAAATAAACAAAAACATATAATTAAACTACAACTGATACAATTACATCAAGCAATTTTGCAGTAATCATGGTCGTAATGATGTATAATTACATAAAGAAAAAGTAAAATCAGTGCTACGTAGAAGATGAGAATACAAAAGAGATAGCAAAAGGCAGGATTCGTTTCTAAAGCCATAAAGCATTTTAAGAATGAATTTTTGGGTTTTTATAGAGGGAGAAAAGAAGCAATAGAGCTTTATAGAGAGAGAATTGTGGTGTGAGATATGATATTGTTTTAGAGTTTTGATGCTTTTATAGACATGCAGTTCGGGTCGGGTTTTTGATCTATTACCACTCATAAACCAAATCGACAGTGTACCATCCGTTTGTCTTCGGTTCAGTCAGTTTAGGATCAGGTAATCGGATATTCAAGGATTTTTTTTACCCTACGACATATTTATACACATGATCGAAGTGATAAATAATTTTAAGTAATTTTAAAATTAAATAAAAATATTAAATACTTGGTATACTCATGATCAAGCCGTTATTTCTAACAATAATTTGAAAAGCATATTTTATTTATTTAACTTGATTATTTTATTTCATATAGCTTTCCATAAATGGCAAACATCACAAAATTGAAATTTCTTGGCCTAGACATCTTAGGATACAACTACATGTCATGGGCTCTAGATGTTGAGCTTTACCTTGATTCAGAAAATCTTGGAGCTACCATAAAAGATAAAAATATGGCAACTCCTAAAATTGCGCAAAGTCGTTGATTTTTCTTTGTCGTCACATTTATGAAGGATTAAAAAATGAGTACCTCACTGTTAAAGATTTTTAAGAGTTGTTAAAAAATTTAAAGGCTAGATTTGATCACCAAAAGAGCATTATCCTTCCGAAGGCTAGATATGAATGGTTCAACTTTCGATTCCAAAATTTTAAGAGCGTGTGTGCATACAATTCAATAGTACATAGAATTACTACTACACTGGAATTATGTGGTTTGAGTATAATAGATTCAAAAAAATTACATAAGACCTACTCAACATTCCACTCGTTAAACAGTTTATTACAATAATAATATAGGCAACATGAATTCAAGACACATAATGAACTCATAGCGTGCCTTTTACTTGTCGAGGAGAATAATGAATTATAAATGAAAAATCAAGAATCTCATCCAACTAGACACCAAGCCTTTCTAGAAGTAAATGTCACAACTTTTTGTGTTCAAGGACGAGGTTGTAGTTATGGTCATGGAAAAAATAAAAAACAGTCATTTTCACAACGGTTATTATGGAGGTTCAAAGTCCTTCACATTAAATTAGAAATGGAAAAAATGCCCCACACCATTAGAAGTGGAAAACCATACAAACCACCCGAAGTGGAATAGCTGGAGCAAAGAAAGAAAAGAGAATGGTTTACTGAATAAGCTCTCTAAGAAGACTGAAGATGATTGTTACAGATGTGAAATAAAATGACATTAGTTGTGTACCTGCCGTATGCCAAAACATTTGGTACATCTCTATAAAAAATCCATCGAAGGAAAATAAAAATTAATAGAGACAAATTTTGGTGAGGGACATCTGGCCGCGCCCTCAACTCAAGCTAAAATGAAATAGAGAATATAGATTACAAATGTCATCTTTTATTTTCTAAAAGAAATAATTTGAGATTATGTATGTAAATTTTGCCTTTGAGAGTTATTTGAAAAATATTCATATCTATGCATTTTATTTATTAATAAAATCATGTGTATTTTTTAAATAGAGGCATAGAACATGGTAATTATTGGCTAACTCCAAGGTGAAAGATGAAGATAAATGTAATACCCCAAATTTTTGATATATATATATAAAACTCAGTTTAGGTCAATTTGTGATATTATTTTTTAAAAAGGATGTTAGTGTAATTAATGAATAAGGAATCGTTGGGTTATCGTACGATTTCTTTTATTTTGTATTTACATATATGTAACAAGTCAAAATAGGGCAAAAAAAAAAAGGGATAAAAGTGTAATTAAAATGAGTTCTCTTGTTGCCCGAGAAGTCTAATGACATATATATATATATATATATATATATATTCTCTTCCCAACATATAGACATACGTTAGAATAAGAGAAAGGAGAGGAGAGGATAGAGTTTTGAGTAAAGAAAAACGAAGAGAAAGAAATAAGGGGATTATGAGAAGAAAGAAGAAAACTAGAAGATTTGATCATCAAGGTTAGTCTTCAAATTGAAATTTAATTTTGAGTTTAATCATTATATATATATATATATATATATATATATATATTCATGATAAAGAATAGTGATGAATGTATAAATGAATTTTATTGAAAATTATTAATTTAAGTGTTTTGAGACCTAGTATTAGATTTATTGTTTATAAGGCTTTAAAGAATTTGTTTAATATCTTACAAAGCAAAAAGAAAACAAAGAGAAAAGGAAATATATTGGTTCCGGGTTCAGTCGCGGGAAGAAGAAGGCCAAAATCCAAAAAAATTACAGAAAACTCCCCTTTAGTTTTAAAGAGTTTTATTTTGACCCCTTTATTCTTCTAAACTTAATTTTAAGTACCTTTTTACTTGATAAGTTGCAAGGACAGAATTCTAAAAAATTTATGGCAGGCCCAAAAAAGGAAAATTCGTTTTTAATAAAATTACACTTTGACCCCAAAAGTTTTTAAAATTATGATTTGACCCCAAAACTTTAGAAACTTTTTCCAAACAGTCCATAATACTTCCATATGCTGTTAAATCATATTAGAAAGGATATTTATATGTAAAATATATATTGAGTATACATTAATGAGTAGAAAGTATAAAAATTAAATATAGAATCGCGAAACGACAGAGTAAGGAAAAAAGGATTGATTGTTATATGTTATTTTGGATTAGGTGGTGATTGCATTGAAGTTGGAAAAGAGGGCTTTGAATTAGATTTTGGAAATCAAGGTGAGTAGTTTATTACTTATTTTGGAAGGATTTTCTATATTAAACTTGTGGGTGCGTGTGTGTGAATTTTTCATATATATAATATATGTTGATGTTCGGGGTTGCAATTAAATATTTTTGTAATTGTGAATTGTTACACATGTGAATTTGCAAAACTTATGAGATGATTTTATATTATTGCTTAAATGGTTTTGGCGATGAAAGAGAAATTTTGTGTGCGATGGGACTAAAACAACAGTTTTAGTGTGTGTGTGTTGAAATCATGTTTTATGAGAAGGGGACTGGGTTATCAAGTCTAAATGGTAACGAGATTGTATACCGGCGTGGTCAGTATAAGGATGTGCACATAGGGGCCAGTTATCAGGCTAGTGATAACAAAAGATGGGGTCAGTCATCTGGCTAGTGATGACAAGAGATGGAGCCAGTTACCAGGCTAATGGTAACAAACATGATTTGACAAGTGTATTTGAAACTGAATGTGTGTGTGTGTGTGTTTTGAGCTATAAATGTTTTTTCTTTTATAAAGTTATTATGATCATGAGATCATTTTGTTTACATGGTTATGTGAAAGTGATTGAGGTACAATTTATTGTATTTATGTATATAACAAAGTTTATTTCTGTGTATATAAAATGTGAGATTTATTTTCAAACCTCATTAGAGGTGGTTGCTACTCACGGGTCTTTGTGCTCACCCAAATATTTAACATTTTTTAGGTAAGGATCAGGAGGAGGAGTAAGTCCTCAGATAGACAAGGGATTAGAAGAATCGAAGATTTATTTTATTGTAGGTCTTCAGGAATAAATATTTTTTTTATAGTTTTGAGACAAGTATTCGATTGTTTTGAGAACAATGTTGTTTTTGCTTAGAGTAGTGAACATTATGGCTACATTATTGTTTTACATGAATTTAGTAATAATGTCGGTGATGTTAGTTTAT